TCTTAAATGAGAAGGGTCCACACACATCCACGATGTTTCGAAGATGCTCATGTGGGTCCTAATGAGCCAATCCACTGAAATGTCCTTTTAGTTGCAAAAGTTGCAACATGGTGCTTGTTATATGGAACACCTTATTTCCCTCTGTTGGAGGTAGACGGATGGATCCGACACCTCCCATGAGATGTGGATCATTGATGTTGGGCTGTTGGACATCGTTGAGGTTACCAATGTTATCCTGATGGCCCACTGGGCTCCCGTTACTACCGTTAACACTCATGCTTTTTGAAATGTTTACACGATCAACAGTAAAAAACTAAAAATTAAATTAGTGAACTACAACTAAGAAGAACAAAAAATGTACTAATCTAAAAATTCTCAAATAACACCACTCTCCGGCAGCGGCGCCATTTTGAGGCTTATTGTGACCAACGACACTAACCTACGGTATGAGTGTCTACTATCGTCAAGAGTATAGTAACCCGACTAAAGGTTGGGGTCGTGTCCCAAGGGAGTGGTTTTGAGAATTGATAGAGAAATAAAATTAAGCTCTAACTAGTCGTAGCTAAAGATATTAAAGAGTAAAAATATAATATATAAAAGGGGGTGACACAAAAGTGTCAAATAACGATTTGGGGGCTTTGTCACAATTAGTAAAAATAGCAACAATTAAGAAGAAAATCAAGTATGGGGAAATTTTCTTGGGGTGTGACCGCAATACAAGTTGAGATAAGTAGTTGGGTACATGCTTTTGAAAGGAAATTTGTAAGATAATAGTGACTAGACTAACCTTTAAATGGAAATAAGTTCCCTCTTGGGCAACCTACCCCATTTCAAATGCGTTCCTCTCAGATACCCATTTACTGCATGAAGACCAACCTACGCCTTACCCCACTCACTCTCTCGAGCTTAGTGTTAGGATATGAGACTAGGTCTCACCCTCTCGAGCAGAAGCTCATGTCGAGCAACTCCTTAGGCCATCAGTCTAGTGGTCTTGGTTTTCGCGACCTCCCTCTCGAGTAAGCCGAAAACACATGGGTGACTTTGTATTTGCAACTACAAACCCTTTAGATTAAACCATAACCACTAGGTGAAATCACCATTAAACTACATCTAACCTATCAACAAGCAAGACCCAACAATAATAGCAACATATATTTGCTAAAATCACACCCCAAGAATGGGGTTTTTTAGCCACACATCAAGAAATAACAAAATACACTTAAAATTCTAGTAAATAAAATGGGTATAAGAAATTAAACCTTGATTTAAGCAAAGGAAAAAGAATGGAGAAGACCCACTTCCAACTTGGGGAAGATGAAATCCTTCTTTCTTCAAGTCTCCCAAAAACCCTTTCCAAACTTGAGATAAAAATATCCAAATATTAATATTCTATTCTGGAAATTAAAATAAAGGTTCGACTCCCCTTTAATTTAGAACAAGTTTATTATTTATAGACTTCAGAAAATAGCGCTGGCGGATCTTTCGGCGAAGTTAGTCGATTCCGCCCAATGACTCGGTGACTCACCATTCTTCTGTTTCATCGCCGTTTCATACTTGCCTTCAGCATCTTCACGTTCTGAACCATTGGGTGGTATAGTACTGCTTCGCGGAACTATTCGGCGAAGCGCCGACTGCTCCTTTCATCGCCTTTTTGATCCTTCTCCTTCCGGGCTTCGCGTAGTGGAACATAGGGCGGAGTAAATCCCTTTGGCAAATCCCCAAAGGTTCTTGGCGATGCTCATGCTTCAGCTTCTTCGTTCTTTTCAGCCTTTTTGTTCCTTTTTGCGCCTTAGTGTCCATGCTTCCACTAAAACTTCAAATATCTGAAACTTAAGAGTTTTCATCAGATATTGAGATAAAATAAGCATTCGAGGACACTATTTCTATCATAATAAAGCCCTAAATGAGTTCAATTTGTGGACTAATCATTAGCAAACAACCTCGCTGTTCATTTCCACAAGGCAATCTTGGAGAGCAAAGGTGTTGCTGGAATTGGTGCACTCGGATCTCCATGGACCAATAAATTTAAATTCCAATGGTGGTAAAAGGTACTTCATAACCTTTATTGATGACTTCAGTCGAAAAACATGGGTGTATTTTTACACAAAAAGTCTGCAGCTTTTGATGTTTTTAAACATTATAAAGTACTTGTCTAGAAAGAAACTAGTAGTCCATTGAAAGATTTATGCATTGTTCGTGGGGGAGAGTTCATTTCTAAAGAATTTATAATTTCTTGTGAGGAAAATGGAATCAAGAGTCATTTAGTGCAGGTTACACACCTCACCGAAATAGTGTTTGCCATGGTGAGCAACATCATAACTAAGAGTGGTGTCTCAAAAAGTTTTTGGTCAGAAGTTGTTGATAGGATCTTTCATATTTTAAATAGAAGTCCAACTTTCTCTGTTCAAAATATGACTCCAAAGGAGAATTCGAGTTGGCTGAAACCAAGTTTTGACTATTTTAGAATCTTTGGATGTATGGCTTATGCACATGTTCCAGATTAAAGGAGGATCAAACTAGATGGTGAAGGAGAAAAATGCATTTCTCTTGGTGTTAGTAATCAATCTAAAGCTTATAAGTTATATAATCCTAACACCAAGATAGAAGTTGTTGAATCCATGTATCATTGAACAATTCCCTCACTAACACTTCCATTCACAATTGATTGTACAACAATAAGAACTACGTCTTAATCTCAAGCAAGTTTGCATCAATTATATGGACGAGTCGCTCCATTTTACCCTTATTACTTTTACTTGTACTTGGGCGAAAATAAACAGATCAAAAGTCTGGATTAAGGGTGTAACTAATAAGTGTAATAACAAAGTACTAGGATCAAGGCTGTATCCTGCTGTAACATCAAGTTATTCCACATAATACTGGCTGTGCAATGATCAAATCTTGAGTTCAGTAAGCTTCCAGAAGCAACACAATAATACAACTACTAAAATCTTTTCTTTTTAACTGACCGTGGTGTCCAGGCCAACTTTCACGCACCTCAACTAATTTCACAAGATACTTTCCATCTCCCACTTACAACAAATACTAAGTAACTCTGTCCACAAAGACTACGATAAATAGAAAGAATCACCTATTGTATTGTTGTCTACATATAATTTAAATCTAAAACTTTATGACTCTCAACCACTTCATTGACCACTAGGTCACACTCTTCGGTGCAATAGAACTATGAGAATCTTAACATGATACAATAATAACCACTTACATGCATCACCACCAGGTTTAACTAAAATTTCAAAACCTAATCTAGAGTGGATTGCATTTTCTCAATATGTAAATGTTTGAGATGTTGCAAGTCACCACATAGTTAAAACAGAAACCTCTCAGATATATTCTTCTGAAAATCTATCTTTATGTTTTTGATCTTACAAGAGACCAGTGTGCCATGTCTCCTTAATTGACCATATTTTCTCTGCAAGCCTAGAAACTAAATAGTTTTTTGTCTGCAAGCCTATTCACATTTACATTTCAAAGGAAAAATAGTTTTTGTCTGCAAAAAAAAGAGGCAAGAAGCCAGAAGAGTATTTGGATATCACATATTCCCTTTTCTTTAACCTCTACTCTCTTAAGAGTTTGTAGCGCAATAGTAAGAGAAACATCTTTGCTAACTATTAAACTATATGGTTTGGCATTGTCAGATTATTTCTGAAGGCATGCTTCCTACAACGCTCAAATATGCTGTTGTAGATCAAATCAAATTGAACTCCAGCTCTTTCATGATTCACAATGAAAATAATGTGATCATCTTCGACAATCTTATAGTACCTGATTCCAGAGAAGAAAAAAAGGAAATGTTAGTTTTCAAGATTCCCTGAAATACATGTCGTTTTATTCAAATAACAACTACACCCAATAGCAATCTCAAGTATCCAATACGTCAAACGAATATGCAGTATGTTCAATAGTTGCAAATTTACAAAGCAAGTCAAATGTTTTCCATATCTCAAAGATAATTGGTATATACCTGAGAACTCTTGATTAAATTAACATAAAAGTCATAGTTTGCAAATCATATTATCTTTGATGGGGTTAAGTGAGAAGCATATTAGAGAAAAAGCAGCGACAAGAAGGTGCAAAAATCCTATTGCAAGAAGTGTAAAGCAAATATAATAGCAGTAGCTTAAGACTGGTTGCCTACCAGATACCACGTAGAAAGGTTGGCAATCAGAATCTTTAACAACCACTTGACTAGGATGTTCAATGGGGAAACGAGTATGTGTCATAGATATAGTGTTGAGTGAACCATCATTGTCACACCAATCCTCATCCCTGCAAAATTTAGATGGAACCGAAAGCAGTGAGATGATGAAATTACATATATTGGTATAAAAATTGTTATTTGGCAGCAAAAAAGCACAACTATTACCCTTGTATTTATTAGAGCATCTGGCGTTAGGACATCAATCAATAGTTTAGTCATATTAGGATCAGTAGTTTAGTCGTATTAGGATTGCATTACTAATTCAACAATTATTATTTACTTAGATTAATTTAGTTCAGTTCGTTTAGGAGTCTTATTATTTTTCCTGTAACTCTATTTAATACCTTGCTGCCTTCATTAATAAATATACTCTTTTCAGCACACATTCAGTCTTTATATGGTATCGGGGCTCTTCACGCTCTAACAAGTACGATCAATTTTTTTCTCCTCCTCACGTAGATCAACAACAATGACCAATCACAATGGTAACAACAATGGCAACAATCCCAGAGTTGTTAATGCTGATAACACGACGGGTACCAATATTATCATTCAATTCAATCTTGCATCCCAATTACCCATCAAACTAAGCGGTGGTCACAACTTCGACACCTGGAAAGCCTAATTTTCCATGCTTATGTATGTCTATAACCTCTTTGGCCATCTCAATGGAATCACTCTGTCCCCCAGTCGCACAATTACCCTTGGCACGAATACATCTCTTAATCCTGCCTTCTTAACTTGGTTCCGTCAAGACCAACTCATCCAGAATTCCCTCATGGCTTTTGTCGAACCCACTATTACCTCTACTGTTGCTTCTGCTGACTCGGCTAAATCAGCTTGGGATGTTTTTCATACCACTTATGCGAACAAATCTCAAACCCGAGTCTTTATTTTGCGTGATCAGCTTGCCCGGGTCACTAAGGACTCTCGCTCCATTACTGAAAATCATCACACTATTTGGTCCTTCTCAGATGAGTTAGCCACTGCTGGTGCTCCTTTTTCCAATCCTGAACTCATCGTCAAAATACTCAGTGGTCTAGGTCCTGAATTTCATGAGATCTCTACTGCCATTCGTCCACGCGATACAGCTATATCCTATGAGGAACTGTTTGAAAAGCTACTGGACTTTGAACTCCTTATTCGCCATGAGGATGCTAAGAAACTACCTAGTACCATCACTTTTGCAGTTGCTACGCCCACCAAATTCAACTCCAATAATCGCAATAATCATAGACAAACCAACAACTCTCAACAATGTAGCAAATATTTGCGTCCAAGCACTCCACCACAATGGCAGTCCAATTCCAATCCAAACGGTGTTACTCTATGTCAACTATGTAACAGAATTGGCCACACTGCCAATGTTTGCCTCTCAAAGTCTCATAATCACTTTGAAGTGAAAGCCAACTATGCTGCTGGGTTTACAGCGTACACCAACCCCTGGATAGTTGACTCAGGAGCAACCCATCACATCACAACAGAGCCACACAACCTACAGCCATACAGCGGTAACGAGGATTCCTCCATGGGTGATGGTAACAAAATTCCCATCTCTCACACTGGTTCTACTAAAGTAAATGCATCAAATAATGCTTTTAAGCTAACCCACACTCAGTGTTCCCTTCCATTAAATGTAAGGTTATCTCTATTTCGAAATTCTGTCAAGACAATATTAAGTCTATTGAATTTTTTCCTATTAACTTTGTTGTGAAGGATCTGTGGTGCACGGTCGGACCAACAATGGACTGTATGAGTGGCCTGTCTCACATCCCCAAGCTCACATTATCTCCACATCCAGTCCTCTAATTACTTGGCACCAATGTCTTGGACATCTACACTCTAGAGTTCCTAGGTTTATTTTAGATAAATTCTCGCTACCATTTCATGAGCGAGACAATAAAATTCATTGTAATTCTTGTTTATCTAATAAAGCTCATCGGCATCTTTTTACCCAACTATCAGTGTGTAGCTCTAAACCACTTCAAATTATTTTAGTGATTTATGGGGGCCATCACCAGTCTTAACTCTTGACAAAAAGTTGTATTATTGTATTTTTGTTGATCAATATATGAAGTACACTTGGCTCTACACACTAACAAAGAAAAGTGAAGTTAAAGAGATCTTTCAAAAATTTCATCCTATGATGGAAAAACATTTTGACACCAAAATTTTATCATTGTATACTGATGGCAGAAGTGATTATAAAAGTTTAGACTTCTATCTTTCACTTAACGACATTCAACACCTTCCACCCCACCTTATACACCCCCAACGAGTTGCACTTGCAGAATGATGACATCGTCATATCGTCGAAACTGCAAGAACACTCTTACATGAGGCGTCCCTCCCACCCCAATTCGGGTCTTTTGCATGTCATCACACTGTCTACCTCATCAATCGTCTTCCAACCTCTCACCTAGATAATCAATCCCCATTCCAAAGATTACTTCGAAAATCACCTGATTATAACTCCCTAAAGATTTTTGGTTGTTTATGCTATCCATGGCTTAAACCATACTCTAAAAATAAATTTGAATCCAAATCTACCCCATGTGTCTATCTTGGTTTCTCACTATCCCATCACTGTCACCAGTGTTTTGACCCAATTTCTGCAAAGGTCTACTTATCCCGAGATGTGCGATTTGTTGAGGATGTATTTCCGTTTAAGACATTGTTCTCCAATACTACCATTAAATCAGCTCACCTAGAATGGGCAAAAATAACAATGCCAAGTTCTTTGAACCCCACACCCAAATTTCCCATAGTTACTGATCTACCAACTCTACTAGAAATAGCAACAAGCATAATTAAAGATTTCCTATCACCGTCTGCTTTATCTCCAGCCCAGTCCGGAGATAACTCAAACTCACAGTCTTTATCCAACAATGCATCAGCAGCGGACACAACAGATTAACCTCCTGCAGCTCCTCCCTCTCCAGGTACATTTTTATCTTCCTCATCTTCAATAGTTCCCATTTCGCAGAACCTCTCTTCTATATCTACTGCCCAGCGTTTAGCACTACCACATCTCCCTACAAATTCACAAACGTCGATCCCAGCCAACACACAAAGAAACTTGTCTCTTCTCAGTGTCTATCAATGTAGAAACACCAACCCACCAACACCCATGGCTCCTCAACCAACCTGTCCTATCCTCTCGAGTTGGAACTCGCTCCTTCAGCGCCTCAATGTCCATCTCCTCCTACCCATGCTATCACTCGATCCCAAAACAATATCACAAAACCCAAACAAATTTTTGATTACCTAGCCAAATTGAACCCTACAGTCACACCCACTACTGTCAAACAAGCACAAAAACATCCCGAGTGGCGTTATGCAATGAAACATGAATTTGATGCTTTAATTAAAAATGAGACTTGGGAACTTGTTCCTCCTGACCCGACCAAAAACATTGTATCCCGCAAGTGGCTTTTCAAGATCAAGAGAAATGCTGATGGGTCCATCGACAGTTACAAAGCGCGCCTGGTTGCAAAAGGCTTTACTCAAAGGCCGGGCATTGATTTTCATGCCACATTCAGCCTAGTTGTCAAGCCCATCACAGTTCCCATCGTCCTCTCTGTGGCACTTTGTCACAACTGGCACCTTCGCCAGCTGGATGTCAATAATGCCTTTCTCCAAGGTAACCTGGAAGAGGAAGTGTACATGGAACAACCTCCGGGGTTTACTAGTGATGACAAACCAATGCATATATGTCAGTTGTGAAAGGCGATCTATGGCTTGAAACAAGTTCCTTGGGAATGGTACAATATCCTCACGGGTTATCTTTCATCCATAGGTTTTATTAAGACAAAATTTGATGCCTCACTACTAGTCAGACATGGTGTAGGTGATACATTGTTCGTCTTCATCTATGTCGACGATATTATTATCACTGGGAGCAATACTTTTAATTGTCAATCAGGTTATCACTTCCCTTTTTTCTAAGTTCTCTATTAAAGATTTAGGTAATCTTCATTATTTTGTTGGTGTTGAAGTGATACACAGCTCCAACGGTTTAATTCTCACACAAGCAAATTATGTGAATGAAATTCTAAATGATGAGCTAATGACTGACTGCAAGAGTGTTAACACACCAATGAGTGCATCTGAGTTTATCACCTTGTCTGATGGAACTCATTTAATTGATGCTACACGTGATCGCCGAGTCATGGGTAGGCTTCAATAACTATCCTTCACTAGACCGGACATAGCCTATGCAGTCTAGAAGCTTTCTTAATTCATGCAAGCATCATCAGACGTGTTCTTCGATACATACGTGGTACCATTCAACTCGGCATACGCGTACTCCTATTGATGAACAATGGGTAGGTTATTAATAATTATTTCAAGTATATTAAAGTACTTTTAACTATTAAAGTACCCTTTTAACTCCCATAACTCACAAACTCAAAACATAACTACCTCTCCACTCTCAAAAGATTCTCCCTCTAGACTCCATTGAAGAACAAAGAAGAAGGTCAAGATTAGGGTTAAAGCTCATAGATTTTCACTCCAATTTTGTGGAACTGATACTTATCGTGACCAACGGCACTAACATACGATATGAGTGTCTACGATCGTCGATGGTATAGTAACCCAACTAAAGGTTGGGGGTCGTGTCCTAAGGGAGTGGTTTTGAGGATTGATAAAAAAATAAAATTAAGCTCTAACTAGTCGAAGCTAAAGACATTAAAGAATTAAAACATAGTAAATTAAAGGGGTCGACACAAACGTGTCAGATATCGATTGGGGTTTTTGTCACAACTAGTAAATAGCAAAAATTAACAAGAAAATCAAGTATGGGGAAATGTTCTTGGGGTGTGACCACAATACAAGTTGAGATAAATGGTTGCGTACATCCTTTCAATAGGAAATTTGCAAGATAATAGTGACTAGGCTAAACTTTAGATGGAAATAAATTCACTCTCGGGAAACTTACCCCGTTTCAAATGGGTTCCTCTTGGACACCCATTTGACGCATGAAGACCAGCCTACGCCTTACCCCACTCCCTCTCTCGAGCTGGGTGTTAGGATATGGGACTAGGGCTCACCCTCTCGTGATGAACCTCATGTCGACCAAATCCTTAGGCCATTAGTTTAGTGGTCTTCGTTTCGCGACCTCCCTTTCGGGCAAGCCAAAAATACATAGGTAGTTTTGTATTTGCAACTACGAACCCATTAAATTAAACCATAAGCACTAGGTCAAATCACCATTAAAATACATGTACCCTATCAACAAGCAAGACCCAACAACAATATCAACACATATTTGCTAAATCACACCCCAATAATGGGGGTTTTTAGCCACACATCAAGAAATAACAAAATACACCAAAAATGATACTAAAATGAAATGTGTATAAGAAATTAAACCTTGATTAAAGCAAAGGAAGAAGAATGGAGAAGACCTACTTCCAAATTGGGGAAGATGAAATCCTTCTCTCTTCAAGTCTCCGACAAAACCCTCTCCAAACTTGAGAGAAAAAATATCTAAAAATGTACTATTCTATTTTGAAAATAATAATAATAATAATGGTTCGGAACTTATCAAAATTGATAACAAGTTTAGTATTTATAGACGTCAGAAAATAGCGCTAGCGGATGTTTCGGCGATATTAGTCGATGCCACTGAATGACTCGTCGACTCGACCTTGTTCTATTTCATCGCTATTTCATGCTTGCCTTCAGCATCTTCATGTTCTGGACCATTGGGCAGTATAGCAATGTTTCGCGAAAAATTCGGCAAAGCGCCGATTGCTTCTTTTATCGCCTTTTTGATCCTTTTCCTTCAGGTCTTCGCGTACTGGAACAAAGGGCGGAGTGAATCCCTTCAACGTATCGCCAAGTGTGCTTAGCGATGCTTAGGCTTCAGCTTCTTTGTTCTTTTCAGACTTTTTGTTCCTTTTTGCGCCTAAGTGTCCATGCTTTCAGTAAAACTTCAAATAACTGAACTTTAAGAGTTTTCATCAGATATTTAGACAGAATAATCATTCGAGGACACTATTGTTATCAAAATAAAGCCCTTAATGAGTCCAATTTGTGGACTCATCAACACCCCCAACTTAAACATTTGCTTGTCCTCAAGCAAACTCAAGTTCAGTCGTTCAAAATGGGTGTTTCAAACAGTGCTACACAAGACTCAATCATGAGTGCACACAACAAGACTCAATCTACTTATGCAAGGATCAAATTGTGTACTCAAAGATTCAAGTTGTGACACACCATTACCAAAGATTCTCATGCTTCCAATATTTTCTACTTGTGCAAGTTCAAGCTTAACAAAAAGTATCTAAATACCCTCACAAAAAATATGATTCTATATTCACACACAGAGGTTAATCAATTCAAAATCAGGAATTCGATGCAACGCTCACACTAAAAAAGAGGAACATAATGCATGTTTTCACCCATAGGTTTACCCTTATTTTCCTATCGACTTTCAATTTGGTTTACTCAAGATAAAAAAGGTCTTTCTAAGGTTTGTAATGAGGCTGAGTGCAAAGGTATGGTCATTCAGGCTCAGTGGCTCCTTCCTCGTGGGATGTGGTATTCTCAAGGCATTCCCTCCTTTTCCTTTATCGATTCTTTTTCTAGTGCTTCTAAGTCACCTTTTTATTCACCTTCATGGATTGCTTGGAAACCCGATTTCTTTCGTACTATATTCCACAGTTTTTTTTTGAATTGAATTGAATGGGTTTCCACTTATGCAACACCATGGGTTAGGGGGGGACTTTTTCTTGCACTTCTTGACTTCTCCTTTTCCTTTTCACCACACCCCCAACTTAGGCTTTTGGCCTAAGTTGGCTATTCACTAAATTACAAATTAAGAGGATTGTAGGTAGTGGTTCAAGTAAGGTCTAGGGTTCAACAAGGTTCTTTCAAAGAAAGGTAAGGCTCAAAGGGTGTTCAAAAGAGTTTCACAAGCTCACGGGTAGGCCACAACCGAGGTATATGTCAAATTTGGCTAACACTCTTTAAAGTTGCCTAAGATCATTTCAGTAGGACACCTTTCTAAATAAATCAGACTAATAGGGAAAATTCTAGGTTTATTCATGCATGTTTCAAAGCAAGCTAATCACACAAGGCATCGACACTTAAGTCAAACAAGACTACACACTTTCGCTAGTGTGCAGTGGTCATTACAATTGAATCAATTCGATAAATGGCTAATCACAATGAGATACAAATGTTCACATATTGTGTATGCAATTTCATTTGACCTCATCGTAGCCGTACATTCATGTTCGTTCAATTGAGAGTACTATTTAAGTCATCGGTATTGATCGAAATCAGTACTCAAATATTTTTGCAAAAGAACAACCACATTCTACTCACGAGGGGTTGCAAAAATGTGTGAAATATTTTAATTTTTTTGGAAGGGTCAAGTCAAAATTCATTTGCAATTAAGAATAAGAGAAGCCACAAGCTCAAACAATCGCAAAGTAGTTTTAAAAACACAATTAAAAATAGATAACCCAAATGTACACCAAAAAAATGTGGGCCTCACCCCACCACAAATAAGAGAGTTTGTCCTAAAATGCGAATAATGGCAGTACCCAGAGTTTAAGAAAGATAAGATATAGAAAGAGGTCAAGAAGAGTCATGTCTATGCAATCTCTCTATCTGCTATGGCATTCGATGCATTTCCCTGAAGTAAAACCATGGTCCCCGGAGTATTGTTGTTTTAGTCCTCATTGTTTGCCTTCGGTGTGGCCTCTGTAGCAATATTTCTGCAATCATATGATCTATCTCCTGAGCTGCTCCGAAGGCCCGTATTGCATTAACAAAACTTCAAGCCCATGAAGGCACATTAGGGTCGATGGAAATTCAACTCTTTGCTCTAGCTTCATTGGTATATTTCCTTTGTCTGGGTAGCTCTGCTTTCTTTTCGTCTTTCTTAAACTCTCGTGCTCT